GATTTTGTCATTAAGCAGATCTGGTTCAAATCTCAGATTTGTGCCTTAAACGAATTACTTACACTCATTGAACTCTAGATTCCTTATTTGTAAAATGAAAGACAATAATAGTTATCACCAAAGGGAAATTGAATATGGTCATTCATTTATTTACTAATTCAACATTTATTATTGCCTACCTTGTGCAAAATCTCTGCTGTACTGAAGTTTACATTCTTTTTTTTAAAATTTTTTATTGGATTTTAGGTTTTGGGGTACATGAGCAGAGCATGCAAGACAGTTGCGTAGGTACACACATGGCAGTGTGCTTTGCTTTCCTTTTCCCCTTCACCCACGTTTGGCATTTCTCCCCAGGCTATCCCTCCCCACCTCCCCCTCCCACTGGCCCTCCCCTTTTCCCCCCAATAGACCCCAGTGTTTAGTACTCCCCTTTCTGTGTCCATGTGTTCTCATTTTTCATCACCCGCCTATGAGTGAGAATATGCGGTGTTTCATTTTCTGTTCTTGTGTCAGTTTGCTGAGGATGACGTTCTCCAGATTCATCCATGTCCCTACAAACGACACAAACTCATCATTTCTGATTGCTGCATAATATTCCATGGTGTATATGTGCCACATTTTTCCAATCCAGTCTATTATCAATGGGCATTTGGGTTGATTCCAGGTCTTTGCTATTGTAAACAGTGCTGCAATGAACATTCGTGTACATGTGTCCTTATAGTAGAACGATTTATAGTCTTTTGGATATATACCCAGTAATGGGATTGCTGGGTCAAATGGAATTTCTATTTCTAAGGCCTTGAGGAATCGCCACACTGTCTTCCACAATGGTTGAACTAATTTACACTCCCACCAACAGTGTAAAAGTGTTCCTTTTTCTCCACATCCTCTCCAGCATCTGTTGTCTCCAGATTTTTTTTTTTTTTGAGACAGAGACTCGCACTGTTGCTTGGGCTGGAGTGTGTAGTGGCACGATCTTGGCTCATTGCAACCTCTGTCTCCAGGGTTCAAGGGATTATTCTGCCTCAGCCTCCCGAGTAGCTGGGAGCTACCATGCCCAGCTATTTTTTTGTATTTTTAGTAGGGATGGGGTTTCACCATGTTGGCCAGGCTGGTCTCAAACTCCTGACTTAGTGATTTGCCCACCTCGGCCTCCCAAAGTGCTGAGATTACAGGTGTGAGCCACCGTGCCTGGCCATTTTTTTTTTTTGAGACAGAGTTTTACTCTTGTCACTCAGGCTGGAGTGCAATGGCGTGATCTCAGCTCACTGCAACCTCTACCTCCTGGGTTCAAGTGATTCTCCTGCCTGAACCTTCGAAGTAGTTGGGACTGCAGGCATGTGCCACCATGCCCAGCTATTTTTGTATTTTTAGTAGAGATGGGATTTCACCATTTTGGCTGGGCTGATCTTGAACGCCTGACCTCAGGTGATCTGCCTGTCTCAGCCTCTGAAAGTGCTGGGATTACAGGCGTGAGCCACTGCACCTGACCTGAAGTTTACATTCTAATAAGTAGCAACAGATGGTAACACAAACCAGAAATAAATAGGAAACACCATAACAAACGAAATGGTGATATAATTGACAGTTTCTTCTGTTCCTCTTTGTTTTCTTCTTGTTCAATCAGCCTGCTAAACTATATGGAACCTAATTTTCATGGGCCACTTGTCTAAGCTGGGGGCCCTTGGAAAGTCTCTCGTGTCTCTAATCTCAATGTCCTAATGTGACTTCTCTAGAAATATTTGGACATTAGCAGGAGGCCAAGGCTTTAGATCAGCTTTTTACTTTAATGGTGGACTTGACTTTCCTGGTAGAATTTTAGGCTTTGTGTGGACTGTGGAGATGATATTTGGGGACAGGCAGACACTTGCCCTGCCTCTGCCTGAGAAAATTCTGTTTTGGATGTCTTGTTGAAGTTGTTGCTTTAATTTAATTCTTTAATTTAATTCATCAGAATGTGTGGCTCCCAAGAACCGCCTCTGATTCTTCCCTTCAAACACAAAACGTGAGTGTGCCAAGAAAGTCCAAGGTGTTGAATGTTGCCACTTCCACCCTAAACTTTCTAGGAACACGTAAGTGGGTGGCAGCTTCCAGTCCTCCAGCTGCTTCTAGGCCAGAGCTGGGATCCACGAGAGGCAGAGTAGGCATATACATGCTTAAGGAACTGGCAAAACAGATTCTCTCTCTCTCTCTTTCTCTCTCTCTCTCTCTCTCTCTCTCACACACACACACACACACACACACACACACTGACCCACACCCCAAGGTAGCTCTCAACATGTTCTCCTAAATTTTGGAACCAAAAAATCTTGAAAGATGATATTTCAATATCACATTTTGTGTATGTTTTCGATTATATTAGATTCAAATTACAATTCGAGGCCACAGTCTTTTAAATTCAGGGCCTTTTTAACTTGCCAAGCCCCACACCACTCCCCCACACCCCAGTTCTCAGAATTCATTCACAAGGTCTTTCCTAAATCCAGGGTCCAGGCCAGAGAGTGGAGGATGTGTTCTCCTTCCTTCCTTCCTTCCTTCCTTTCTTCCTTTCTTTCTTTCTTTCTTTCTTCTTTCTTTCTTTCTTTCTTTCTTTCTTTCTTTCTTTCTTCTTTCTTTCTTTTTTTCTTTCTTTCTTTTTTTTTCTTGTTTTTTTTATTGGATTTTAGGTTTTGAGGTACATGAGCAGAGCATGCAAGACAGTTGCGTAGGTACACACATGGCAGTGTGCTTTGCTTTCCTTCTCCCCTTCACCCACATTTGGCATTTCTCCCCAGGCTATCCCTCCCCACCTCCCCCTCCCACTGGCCCTCCCCTTTTCCCCCCAATAGACCCCAGTGTTTAGTACTCCCCTTTCTGTGTCCATGTGTTCTCATTTTTCATCACCCGCCTATGAGTGAGAATATGCGGTGTTTCATTTTCTGTTCTTGTGTCAGTTTGCTGAGGATGATGTTCTCCAGATTCATCCATGTCCCTACAAACGACACAAACTCATCATTTCTGATTGCTGCATAATATTCCATGGTGTATATGTGCCACATTTTTCCAATACAGTCTATTATCAGTGGGCATTTGGGTTGATTCCAGGTCTTTGCTATTGTAAACAGTGCTGCAATGAACATTCGTGTACGTGTGTCCTTATAGTAGGACGATTTATAGTCTTTTGGATATATACCCAGTAATGGGATTGCTGGGTCAAATGGAATTTCTATTTCTAAGGCCTTGAGGAATCGCCACACTGTCTTCCACAATGGTTGAACTAATTTACACTCCCACCAACAGTGTAAAAGTGTTCCTTTTTCTCCACATCCTCTCCAGCATCTGTTGTCTCCAGATTTTTTAATGATCGCCATTCTAACTGGCGTGAGATGGTATCTCAATGTGGTTTTGATTTGCATCTCTCTGATGACCAGTGACGATGAGCATTTTTTCATATGATTGTTGGCCTCATATATGTCTTCTTTCGTAAAGTGTCTGTTCATATCCTTTGCCCACTTTTGAATGGGCTTGTTTGTTTTTTTCCTGTAAATCTGTTTGAGTTCTTTGTAAATTCTGGATATCAGCCCTTTGTCAGATGGGTAAACTGCAAAAATTTTTTCCCATTCTGTTGGTTGCCGATCCACTCTAGTGACTGTTTCTTTTGCCGTGCAGAATCTGTGGAGTTTCATTAGGTCCCATTTGTCTATTTTGGCTTTTGTTGCCAATGCTTTTGGTGTTTTGTTCATGAAGTCCTTGTCTACTCCTATGTCCTAGATATGGAACCAAAAGAGAGCTCGCATAGCCAAGTCAATTCTAAGCAAAAAGAACACAGCGGGGGGCATCACACTACCGGATTTCAAACTATACCACAAGGCTACAGTAATCAAAACAGCATGGTACTGGTACCAAAACAGAGATATAGACCAATGGAACAAAACAGAGGCACCGGAGGCAACACAACATATATACAACCATACAATCTTTGATAAACCTGACAGAAACAAGCAATGGGGAAAGAATTCCCTGTTTAATAAATGGTGTTGGGAAAACTGGCTAGCTATGTGCAGAAGGCAGAAACTGGACCCCTTCCTAACACCTTACACTAAAATTAACTCCAGATGGATTAAAGACTTAAACATAAGACCTGGCATGATAAAAACCCTAGAAGGAAATCTTTCTTTCTTTTTCGGAGATGGAGTCTGACTCTGTCATCCAGGCTGGAGTGCAATGGCGTGATCTCAGCTCACTACAACCTCCACTTCCTGGGTTCAAGGAATTCTCCTGCCTCAGCCTCCCAAGTAGCTGATACTACAGGTGCCCACCACCACACTCAGCTAATTTTGTGTGTGCGTGTGTGTGTGTATGGGGGAGTGTGTGTGTTTGTGTGTTTTTAGTAGAGATGGGGTTTCAGTATGTTGGCCAGACATGCCTCGAACTGCTGACCTCGTGATCCTCCTGCCTTGGCCTCCCAAAGTGCTGGGATTATAGGCGTGAGCCACTGTGCCCAGCTGGATGTGTTCTATTTCTTACCCTATTGCAGTCCCCTCTGACAGTTCTCCCTTCTGAAGCACTCAGTGTCTGATCTTACACAGCCTCACACTTCATCATGCACAATGAGCAAGACTGTGATGTGATCATTCGTGTCCCTGACTTATTGGGGCACATCTGTGGGAGGCAGAGGCCTCCTGGACCACTGAGCAATTCATTTACATTAGGAAGTTTCTCTCTCAGATGCAGAAAAAACATCTTGTTTTCCTGCTGTGGTCTTGACCCTTGTCCCACCTTCTGTTGCTGTTGTAGGGGGCAAAATAAGGGCCAAGGCCTGAAACAGAAGTGCTTTGACTGAAGCTCCACTTGGCTTCCCAAGCCCAAGCTGGGTTGCAGCAGGTTCCCTAGGGTGGAGGTTGTGGGCAGCTGCCAGGCACATGTGCCTGCCCACTGGTCCCTGGCCCTCACTGCATTGGCCAATGGGAAAGGACGATTGTGAGGTGGGGACTGCTTGCCCCCATAAGTACCAAGCTGTTGAGGCTGGGCCATCTCCTCCTCACTTCCATTCTGACTGCTTCCGATCCTTAGCAGAGGGTAAGAGCAATTCTATGAAGTTCCAGGCTGGGTGGGGGATGCCATGCATAGCCTCTGGCTGGCTCTCCTGTCCATAGCAGAGTGGGGGTGGATACAGGCAAACCTCTGGCCAGGGCAGCACCAGTGGAGGCAGATATGCACTAGGCTTCTTCCTCAATTCTCCCACAGCTCCAAGAGAGAAAGGGTTATTTCAGACATTCCTTCCAAGATGCCTGGAATAATTCTTTTGAATTTTGCCCAGTTCTCTCTGTGGCAGGATGCCTACTTAGAAAAAGTTAGGATCAGTGAGGTGGGAGGTGTGTCCGTAGATGAAGTCCAATTTGATTAAGGGGGATAAGGGAATATATTGTCTTTTAGCTTGACCAGGTAGGGCGAAGGAAGAAGCTTATGTGAAGGCAGCGTGAGAAAACCAAGTTGAGCGCTGACTTCAGACCAGAATTTGGAATCCAGCTTTGCCACTTTATTCTATTCAGCAAATATTTACTGAGCAGATTCTATGGGCCAGACACTGGGTTGGGTCCACGAGATGCAATGATGAGTGTGACATGACTGTTGTCTATAGATTTGGGGATATCTATAGGTTCGGGGTTATCTTACAGGGTCATCAAGAGGATCTAACGAGGCTGGGCGCAGTGGCTCATGCCTGTAATCCCAGCACTTTGGGAGGCTGAGGTGGACGGATCACCTGAGGTCAGGAGTTCCAGACCAGCCTGACCAACACGATAAAACCCTGTCTCTACTAAAAATACAAAATTTAGTTGGGCATGATGACAGGCGCCAGTAATCCCAGGAAGCTGAGACAGGAGAATTGCCTGAACCTGGGAGGTGGAGGTTGCAGTGAGCGGAGATCTCAGCACTGCATTCCAGTCTGGGGGACAGAGCGAGACTGTGTAAAAATAAAGAAAGAAGGTCTAATGAGATAAAATGAGAAGACCCTGGCATATAGTGGGAACTTATGAAAAATCGTAATTAAAAAAAACATTTTCTGACAGAAGAAACTGGATCGACCTGGTTTTTGTGATGCCTAATGCCATTCACCCCAGTGAGTGCTGTTTCTCAGGCATCCTAGTGGTTCTGAGCTGTAGATGCTGAAGGTCAGAGTGGGAGGAATTTGAAGGGTTCGGTCAGCCCCTCTTGTGTTTGAGGATATGGATCCCTGGTCTGGGGAAGTTCTGGTTTTTGGATCAAGCCTCGCAAAGAGCGACACCAACTCACTCCTAGGGACTCTGCTAGAAGGAAGGCCAGCTCTGCCTAATTAGGTTGAGGAGATCAGGGTCCCTTTATGCTAGCAAAATATGTCCAAAGGAGCATGATGGTGTCAGCTTGATTCAGCAAGGCCAACGCACAAAGGGAGCCCTGCGGCTTCCTCAGCTGTCCCTGCTGCTGTCCTTCCTTAAGTCTTGAGGAGCCTTAAGGATAGACACAGACTGGCTCCTTGTTTTTTTTTTTCTTGAGATGGAGTTTCACTCTTGTTGCCCAGGCTGGAGTGGAATGGCACAATCTCGGGTCACTGCCACCTCTGCCTCCTGGGTTCAAGCAATTCTCCTGCCTCAGCCTCCCAAGTAGCTGGGATTACAGGCATGCACCACCACAACCGTCTAATTTTGTATTTTAAGTAGAGACAGGGTTGGATTCATGAGATGTAATGATGAGTGTGACATGACTGTTGTCTATAGATTTGGGGATATCTGTAGAGAGAAGTCTAGAACATTGGGAACTAGGCTAGTCTGGAATTCCCGATCTCAGGTGATCTGCTCTCCTTGACCTCCCAAAGTGCCAGAATTACAGGCATGAGACACCATGCCCGGTCTTTTCTTTTTTTTGAGACAGGGTCTCCCTCTGTCACCCAGGCTGGAGTGCAGTGGTGCAATCACAGCCCACTGTAGCCTCAATTTCCTGGGCTCAAGGGGACCCTTCCATCTTAGTCTCCTGAGTAGCTGGGACTACAGGTATGTGCCACCATGCCTGGCTAATTTAAAATTTTTTTTTTGCAGAGACGGGGTCTCACTATGTTGGCTGGGCTGGCCTCAAACTCCTGGGCTCAGCAGTCCTCCCACCTCAGCCTCCCAAAGGGCTGGGATTATATCCTTGCCCTTTTTAAGGTGGCAGTAGCAACAAACTTTCCATCTACTCCTTGTCAAGACAGTAGACTGGTGGTCCCAGGCATATGGCTAAAGTTAAGAGGTGATGTCTTTTGGAGAGTAGATGCCTTCAATCAGGAATTTCAATCAGAAACTCCTTCATGTGGAGAGAGACTTATCCTAAAATGTGATGGAGGGATGCTCTGCTTTATTAGTTCCTTGAGAATGTGTGTGTGTGTGTGTGTGTGTGTGCCCATGTGGATGGGCATGTCTGTGTGTGTGTGTGGGGCGGTGCATATGTGTATGGATGTGTGGGTGTGCCTGTTCCTAGGAGGAGGTGTGTGTATGGGTGTGGGAATGCACGTGTGTGTGTGTGTGTGTGTGCTCACATGGATGGGCATGTATGTGTGTGGTGGGTGGTGCATATGTGTGTGGATGTGTGGGTGTGGTGTGTGGGTGTGCCCGTGCCTAGGTGGAGGTGTGTGTATGGGTGTGGGTATATGTGTGTGCTAGGCATGGAGATATTGACAGCTCTCCCAGGGCTGAGTGAAGGCTTTCAGGCAAAGCTGAGTTGATTCCTGGTTATGCCATTTATTATTGGGTTGCACCATGTGTGAAACTGCCAATATTTTACATTTTGACTTTTATTTATTTATTTATTTATTTGAGGTGGAGTTTCACTTTTGTCACCCAGGCCAGAGTGCAGTGGTGTGATCTTGGCTCACTGTAACCTCTGCCTCATGGGTTCAATGATTCTCCTGCCTCACCCTCCCAAATAGCTGAGATTACAGGCACCCGCCACTACACCTGACTAATTTTTATATTTTCAGTAGAGATGGGGTTTCACCATGTTGGCCAGGCTGGTCTCAAACTCCTGACCTCAGGTGATCTGCCTACCTCAGTATCACAAAGTGCTGGGATTACAGGTATGAACCGCTATGTCCAGCCCATTTTGACTTTTAAAAATGACAGTTACATGTAATTCAACCCAGTGGTTGAATTAGCTAGCATCTTTCGCTCTCCAAGTCTCAGGTTCTCCTACACATTAGAGTCAAAAGCAGGGCTATTTCAGGATTCATTTGAAAATGTCTATGAAAATTACACTCCAAGGAACTCTTGCCAATGTCAGTGTTCTCTTGTTCCTCATCTCACATGATCCCGTTTAGCGGATTAGGAAGCTGAGTCTGAGAAGCTCTGTGTAATGTTTTCGGAGGCAGTGTGAAGTGATGGAAAGCTCATGGGTTTGGGAGTCAGAACAGAGTCTCTCAGGGATCATTTTCTTAATCACTCAGTTTCCTCATCTCTGAAGTTGAGGTCATTTTCCTTCCTTCATGGAATTATTGTAAGATGAAAATAATGTGTAAAATCTAGCATGGGAGCTGGCTCTCTAAGGTTCTAATAATTGCACTCCTACTTCTTCCCCTCAGATTTCCCATTTGTAAAAGCAAAGCAGGGGTGAGGTGATTTTGGGGGCCCCTTTTGGTCCTGACATCTGAGGATTTTGTATGCTTTTATTTTTTTTTGAGACAAGAGTCTTGTTCTGTTGCCCGAGTTGGAATGCAGCTCACTGCAAATTCTGCCTCCCAGGTTCAAGTGATTCTCCTGTATCAGCCTCCTGAGTAGCTGGGATTACAGGCAGACATCACCACCCCCAGCTTTTTTTTTTTTCCTTTTTTTTGTATTTTTAGTAGAGACTGGATTTCACCATAGTAGCCAGGCTGGTCTTTCACTCCTGACCTCATGTGATCCATTCATCTCAGCCTCCCAAAGTGCTGGGATTACAGGCATGAGCTGCTGTGCCGGGCCAGTTCTGTGTGCCTTTTCTGCTGGAGGAGTTGGCACCAGGTCTGGTGACCTCTTTCCCCCATATAGCTCTGCCTCCTGCCAGTCCCAGAGGGGACCCTGTCCCTGCATTTCACAGGATTCTGCTGTTGCAACCGAAATTCCAGTAGGTCAAAGTGAAATTTCTCATACATTTCAACATGAAGATAAATGATCACACTATGGCCCTGTAGGGTCCCAAGAACATCATGGTCATCTGCATATATAATTTTTAAAGCAAACAAATCCATGCAAGTACGAGGTTTGCCAGGAAAGCCAGTGCAGGACAAAGCCAGTACAGCGAACTGGACTTCAAATCGCACCTCTGCCCTCTTTTACTTGTTATCATTGGGCAGGAATTACTGAACCTGTTTGGTCCTTGAATTTCTTCTATAGGAATTGGGTCTTACCTCCCAGAGTTATGTGGTCAAATTGAGGTTAAAGGGATGATGGCAGCTGGGTGCAGTGGCTCATGTCTGTAATCTGAGCACTTTGGGATGCCGAGGCTGGAAGATCACCTGAGGTCAGGAGTTCAAAACCGGCCTGACCAATATGGTGAAATCCCGTCTCTACTAAAAATACAAAAATTAGCTGGGCGTGGTGGCGGGTGCCAATAGTTCCAGCTACTTTGGAGGCTGAGACGGGAGAATTGCTTGAACCTGGAAGGCAGAGGTTGCAGTGAGCCGAGATCATGCCTCTATACTCCAGCCTGGGCGATAGAGTGAGAGTCCATCTTCCCATAGCCCCGCTTTTGACTCTAACATGTAGGAGAACTTGAGACTTGGAGAGGGCAAGATGCTAGCAATAGAGCAAGACTCTGTCTCCAAATAAATAAAAAAATAAAATAAAAACAGAACACGAATAATTTTGAATTTTTTTTAAAATTAGGTACATCTGCCCTGATCTTCAGTTGTTATTAATTGCTGGTTTTCCATCCTGAATTAAGTTAGAATGCAACCTTCTTTTTCAATCAGAATCCACACTTAGTCTCAGAAATTTCTGAGGCTCCTGTGCTTATTCCTGCTCTTGTATTTTCAGCACTACTACCCCATGCCACTGTCATGGAACCCAGACTGATTGCTCCTATTTGTGGAGAAATCTGTCCATAATACTGAAGTGATGGGGACAAAGTGTGTTCCCTTAGGGTAGGAGAAAGGGATCTTTGTTTTTAACAAAGAGGGAGGAACCAGAAAACTCTAGAGACCTCTGACTTTGCCCTCTCTCCAAGGTTTGTGTAAACCCCCACTCACCCTTTATCTTTGGGGCCTTCCTTAGCTGCCTCCACCAGTTCACGTATTCTGGATTCTCTCCTCCTGTTTCCCAGTGGAAAAGACAGAGCCTCATAGGTTCTTCCCATTTTGGGAGAAAGACATGCATGGAGCTCAAAGTTCTTCTCAGGAGTTTTATTGCTAAAGCCATAATAAGAAAGGGTGGAGGTGACAAGCAGTGAAAAAGTTTAAAGATGCGTGAATCTTTAAAGTCTCAGAACAAGAATTCTCCTTAAGTACAAAAGGGGCTTTGCTGTTCTCTCCTTGGCTTCTTAAGTAGCTCACCTCTTTTTTCTCAGCTTGAGGCTAATCAAGCCTAAGCTGTTTCTCATTTTATTTCCAGCAGCTATTGAGAACACTCTCCCGAACTCTTCAAATTCAGTAGAGGGCGACAAAGTACGTAAATGATAGGAGTGGGTCTTAAATAAAGACTCATGACACCTGCGGGGCAGCGCCTCCGCCTGATCGCACCTGTTTCTGCTGCTGTTTCTGTCTCTCTTCTCTCTGTCTGCCATTTCATTCTCAATTGTTACTTTACTTATAAGATCATATTAGAGCCTGATATTTGATAAATGATGCATCAGATCTGTGGCGAGAGAAAAGATTAATGCAATTAAAGATGTTGTAACAGGTAGTCTTCAAGTGGGGATAAATCCTTTGAGTAACTTAGGTCACACTTACATCAAAACAAAAAATCAGAGTTACATTACAGAGTGAAATTTTAACTATACCAAACAATAGAAAAAGAAAACAGGAGAAAATGGAATACTTACCAAATCTTAGCATGAATAAGAACTGTTTTAGAGGCCAGGGTCAGGGATGGTGGCTCATGCCTTTAATCCCAACACTGTGGGAGGCTGAGGCAGGCAGTCAGCTGAGGTCAGGAGTTTGAGACTAGCCTGGGCGACATCCAAACTGGGCCCTAAAGGCTGAATAGAGATTAGACAGGGGAGGAGGGGCAGCTAAAGGTGGCCCAGGCAAACAAAGGATCAGTGGATGTCTTCATGGGACAATGTGTCTCTCGTTACCTGTTTAACTCAAGGTGAGGCTGTGTGTGAATGTGTATGTGTGTGTGTGCGCATGTGCGTGCAAGTGTAATATACCAAATGGTCAAACATGTGCCCCAGGACAGGGGTAAAGGAAGACAAAGAATAGGAAAGTAAGAAGGAGGAATAGACACAGAAAATGAGAGACAAGGAGGGAAAGGAAAAGAAGAAAGGAGCTGGGGAGAGAAGCTGGTTAGCTTTGAATGGAGCAATCTGGGTCATCATTCTTGGGAAACTCAAGGATGGATTCTTGGCAATTTGGACTCTTGGAGCTTTCCTTGTGCCTGGTCCTGTGCTCAGATATGGAAAAATTAGAGAAGTGTCATCCGTGCAATCACTGAATTCATAATCCTGGTGAGGAAAGGAGACCACACAGGGAATAATGGGAAGTATTACACATTTCGGGGCAGAAAGAGATCAAGGTGGGCTGCAATATTCAGAAAAGTCTTCCTAGAAGCGTTAAATGCTGAGGAAGCAGTTCGTAGAAGTGGACTCTGGTGAGATGGATGGAGTCCTGTGTAGGTGCCAACTGGGTGTGCTGTGTGGGGTCTGCCTCTCCGTGGCTGACAGCGCACATGTGAATCCCAGGGCTCAGGATGCTGTTGCTGGGAGCTGTTCTACTGCTATTAGCTTTGCCCATTTGTGGCCAGGATACCACAGGTGAAGAGCCAGGAGTCCTGCTTCCTCTGCCCAAGGGGGCCTGCACAGGTTGGATGGCGGGCATCCCAGGGCATCCAGGCCATAATGGGACCCCAGGCCGTGATGGCAGAGATGGCACCCCTGGCGAGAAGGGTGAGAAAGGAGATCCAGGTAAGAATGTTTTTGGCCTTTTTTATCACAGACCTCCTGGATTGACATAAACTAATTGAAGGCATTTGTTATTAACTAAGGCCTAGACACAGGGAGGAAGTAAAGCTTTTTCTGTGTAAACTGTAAGGAACCCGAAGTGGATTTTGGGTTGGTCTTCCAAGGACGAGAATGGGCGGTGCCTCTATAACCAAGACTTTGACTTTGCTGCATCTACCTCTTCCTTCACATCCCCTTTCCCATCTTCACCCTCATCTCTATTCTGATTACGTTCATATTCTGGTTCCTCTTTCTGTCTACTTAATTTCCATTCCATCCAGTGGCATTCAACCACACTCACTGCACGCCCCCTCAAGGGCACAGTCCGGCCTTCGGGAAACTCTTGATCTAGTTAAGATGTCTTGATCTAGTTAAGATGTGCAAGGCTCTGTTGGTGGTTACTACAAGAAAGTCAACTCTAAAAATGTCGAAACTGAATGTGAACAAGTACTCAAAGCATAGAGCATCGAGAAAGTGTGCTCACTGATGACCTGGATGAAGAATAAAAGCTTCAAGGAGGAGGCAGAGCTTCAGCTAGGCCTTGAATGATGGGTAGGCAGAAGAGAGGAGGAGAGACATCCTAGATGAAGGGGATGGAGTTGCAAACCAAGGTTGATAGTGCCAGCACATAAAGGGCTGGCAGGGTGGAGGGTCTATGAGAGAGACCTATAGGAGACAAAGATGGAGATGAATTTATGGGAGCCTGCCTGTCTGTCGGAGATGTAGGAGGAGGAAGTAATATCTCTTCCCTTTTGGGAGCTCTTATTGATTTCTTGCTCTGTAAGTCAAGCAGGTTGTGAGTGGGAGTCATAGGGACGGCACTTTAGGCTGTAACCAACCTAGGCCGGAGTTCTGTTCTCTGAGGTCACTGAGGTCTTCTTATTGCTTAGGTCTTACTGGTCCTAAGGGAGACACTGGTGAAACTGGTGTAACTGGGGCCGAAGGTCCTCGAGGCTTTCCAGGAGTGCAAGGCAGAAAAGGAGAACCTGGAGAAAGCACATATGTGTACCGCTCAGCATTCAGTGTGGGATTGGAGACCCGGGTTACTGTCCCCAATGTGCCCATTCGCTTTACCAAGATCTTCTACAATCTGCAAAACCACTATGATGGCTCCACTGGTAAGTTCCACTGCAACATTCCTGGGCTGTACTACTTCTCCTACCACATCACAGTCTATATGAAGGATGTGAAGGTCAGCCTCTTCAAGAAGGACAAAGCTATGCTCTTCACCTATGACCAGTACCAAGAAAAGAACGTGGACCAGGCCTCTGGCTCGGTACTCCTGCATCTGGAGGTGGGTGACCAAGTCTGGCTCCAGGTGTATGGGGAAGGAGAGCATAATGGACTCTATGCTGATAATGTCAATGACTCCACCTTCACAGGCTTTCTTCTCTACCATGACACCAACTGATACCATTAACTCAGAGCCTCCTCCAGGCCAAACAGCCCCAAAGTCAGTTAAAGGCTTTCAGTACAGTTAGGAGATTGATTATTATTTAGTCAAAGGCCTCTGGATATTATTCATGCATTTACTCATTCATTTGTTCATTCATTCATCAAGTAACTTTAAAAAAATCAGATGCTATGTTCCCAGTCCTGGAGAGCTTCACAAACATGACCAGATAACTGATGAGAAAGAAGTAGTTGACAATGCTGTTTTGTGCCCACGGTCTCTCCTGATGCTTATGTCAATTCTGTAAGGCACAGGGAACAAGCATTCTCCTGTTTTTACAGATTGGGTTGAGGCTGAGAGAGTTAAGTGAATGTCTAAGGTCACATAAGTATTAAGTGACAGTGCTAGAACTCAAACCCAGAGCTGTGGACTTTGCTCACTAGACTGTGCCCTGTCGTAGAAGTACATGGTCTCTCTGGAGTGTTGGTAGCTGCCTGTTGCCCACCTCACCTGAGAGCCATTGAATTTGCCTTCCTCATGAATTGAAACATCCCCCCAGCAGAGCTCCCTCAGAGAAAGTGGTTCTGTGATGAAGTCTTGTCCTAGAAGGACTGCTACTCAATGGCCCCTGCACTAGTCTACTTCCTCTTACCTATGTCCCTTCTTACGCTCTTCCCTCCAATGGGAAAGCCAACTGCATCTCAACGTGCTGAACTCCTCCTTGCTCCTCAAGACCACCTGGCCAGGAGCTTCTCTGATACAATATCTTACTTTTTTTTTTGAGACAGAGTCTCACTTTTTCACCCAGGCTGGAGTACAGTGATGCAATCTCCGTTCACTGCAACCTCCTTCTTCCAGGTCCAGGCAATTCTTGTGTCTCAGCCTCCCGAGTAGCTGAGACTACAGGGCACACACCATCATACCTGGCTAATTATTGTATTTTTAGTAGAAATGGGGTTTCACCATTTTGGCCAGGCTGGTCTCAAACTCCTGGCCTCAGGTGATCCGCCCGCCTCAGCCTTCCAAAGTGATGGGATTACAGGTGTGAGCAACTATGCCCAGCCAATATCTTACTTTTTTTTTTTTTTGCCATGATGAGAGTCCTGGGTATAAGAAACACCTCCAACCAGGCTAGAGGCAACTACCCAGTAACAACTGTGCTTCCTTCACCTCTGAATCCCTTGCAGATCCTTGATAAATGCCTCATGAAGACCAATCTCTTGAATCCCGTATCTACCCGGAATTAATTCCTGTTCAGTCTCTGCATGTAACCAGTTTTTATCCACAGAAACATTTTCATTTTAGGAAATCCCTAGTTTTTTTTTTTTTGAGATGGAGTCTCGCTCTGTCACCCAGGCTGGAGTGCAGTGGCAGTGGCGCAATCTCAGCTCACTGCAACCTCTGCTTCCCTGGTTCAAGTGATTCTCCTGTCTCAGACTCCTGAGCAGCTGGGATTACAGGCGCATGCCACCATGCCCAGCTAATTGGAAATTCCTAGTTTTAAGTATCCAGTGCTTATTCAGCTGGACAATATGAATCTTTTCCACTGAGGTTAGGGATGATTGTGCTTTTCAGAACACTTAAAGAATTTTCCATCAAGAAGGTAGCTTGAGTCTGAAATACAAAGCCCATGGAGGAATTTTGAAGTCATTCTTTCCTTGAGTACCAGCAGGGTCAGGGAAGACTGGGCCTGCTGAATTTATTCTTGCTCTTTAAGAATTACAGGTTGAGGTAGTTGATGGTGGTAAACATTCTCTCAGGAGACAATAACTCCAGTGATGCTCTTCGAAGGTTTTAGCAAAAACAGAGTTAATAGCATTCTCTATCAATATATAAATAAAAAACCTATTGTTTTGCTTACAGTTTTAAATTCTGAATAATTTTCTCTTACATGTGTACTGCTAATTATTAAGGTATTATTTTTTCCCCATGTAAAGGTTTGTCTTTTAAAGTGTTTGCATATTATTTTCTACAAGTAAAGATACTATCCAGGCTGGGCACAGTGGCTCACACCTATAATTCCAGCACTTTGGGAGGTCGAGGTGGGCAGATCTCCTGAGGTCAGGAGTTCAAAGCCAGCCCGGCCAACGTGGTGAAATTTTGTACTAAAAGTACAAAATTAGCTGAGCATGGTGGTGCGTGCCTGTAGTCCTGGCCACTCGGGAGGCTGAGGTGGGAGAATCACTTGAATCCAAGAGGTTGCAGTGAGCTGAGATTACGCCATTGCACTCCAGCTTGGGCAACAAGAGTGAAACTTCATCTCAAAAGAAAAAGATACTATCCAGTATTAAATGTAAAAACACTTGCTGCACATCACTTTTGTTTTGATTTTTGGAGAAAGATAGATGTGAGGTTTAGAGAAGATGAAGAGGTGAGAGTGAACCTTGTGTTAGTCAGGACTCCATGTTGTGAATGTCATTCACAACAGAAAACCCAAACTATTATGCAAACTACTGTACGCAAGAAAAAAAAAGGAAAAATGGAAAAATTTATTCCTTTGCATAACAGAAATTACCAGAGCTGTGTGTCTTTAGATAAGGCTTGAACCAAAGGCTCAAAACAACCAAGACCCTTTTCTGTATGTCCTTCTATTCTGCCTTCCACAGGTAGGCTTTACCCTCAGCCTTTACACAGTATAGTTCTAGGCTTTCCCTCATGATATCAAAAAAGACCATCTGGCTAAATAAACATCATGTTTTCTGGTGGTGTCCAAAGGGGAGAGAGGAGTCTCCCTTTCCCAGATGCCTCAGCAAGTATAACCTTGGATCTTATTGGCTCTGGCTAAGTTGTGTGCCTGTCTCTGACCAATCACTGGAGTCAGGAGGATGAAATATTCATATTGGCTTAATTGTGGCTTAAGCCAGGGGTATGGATAACAGATGCAAAATGATACCTGTCCACAACAAACTCTTAATGCTGTGTTTGAGCTTCCTTGAATTTCCCAGAGAGACATTGGGAAAATTCCTATTGATTTTTCCTAAAATTTCAACAAGTATCTAATGTTTGGCCGTGCTCACAGTCTCACATCTGGTTGGGGTGGACTCCTCACAGAACACGCTTTCACAGTTACCCTAAACTCTCTGGGGTGGGGTTAGTCCTTTGTGGAACCAGAGGCACAGAGAGGGTCAACTGAGGCCAAAACAGGCCTGGGAGAAACTGAGGTCAAGATTTCATTAGGATTAATGGTCCTGTGATGCTTTCAAGTATAATTGCGAATTTGTCCAATTCACTTCAGTTCTGTCAGCTTTTGCTTCATACATTTTAGAGCTCTGTTGTTAGATACATACACATTTAGTATTATGTCTTCTTGGTGCATTTACTCTCTTATCATTACGTAACGTACTTTTTTATCTCTGATAATTTTCTGTGTTCTGAAGTCTACTTTGTCTAAAAATAAGATAGGCACTCAAGTTTCTTTTGATTAGTGTTTTCGTGCTTTATCTTTTTCTATTGTGTTACTTTAAATACATCTATATTATTGCATTTAAAATGTGTTTCTTATGGACTACATGTAGTTGGGTCTTACTTTTATCCAGTTTGAAAATATCTGTCTTTAATTGTTGTGTAGACAATTTATATTTAATAAAATTGTCGAATTTGAGATGGATGACCATTTTGTTTTCTGTTCACTGCTTCTGTTTTATTTCTTTCAGGTGATTCTTTTGGAATATTTAAATCTTTCTTTTCTTTTCTTTTCTTTTTTTTGAGACAGAGATTTGATCTTGTTGCCCAGGCTGGAGTGCAATGGTGCGATCTTGGCTCATTGCAGTCTCTGCCTCCCGGGTTCAAGTGATTCTCCTACCTCAGGATCCATAGTAGCTGGGATTACAGACAGATGCCACGATGCCTGGTTAGTTATTTTTTTGTATTTTTGTAGAGAAGGGGATTCACCATGTTGTTTAGGCTGGTTTCAAACTCCTGACCTCTGGTGATCTGCCCACTTCAGCCTTCCAAAGTGCTGGGATTACAGGTAGAATCCACTGCGCCCGACCTGTTGAAATATTTCATAATATTTTGTCTTAATTTACTTATTGGGTTTTTGGCTATGTCTCTTTGTGGTATTTTTTTAGTGGTTGCTTGAAGGATTACAACATACTTAACTTTTCACGGTATACATAGAGTTAATATTTTGCCAGTTCCAGTAAACCACAAAAGGCTTATGATCATATTAGTTCCTCTATCCATTTCCCTTTATGTTATAGTTGTCATATCTATTACATCTATATACATTGGAACACTATAGGCAATGTTATGATTTTTGTATTCAACAGTCATATATAAATTTTAAAGAATATTAGAGGAGAAAAATACTTTATTTAGATATTCATCATTTCTTTGATTCTTTATTAATTCTTAATGTTCTATGTTTCTCTCTGGTGTAATTTCTCCTCTACCTAAAAAATTTTATTTCGCATTTATTTTAGAGCAAGTTTATTGATGAAGAATTCTCTTAGTTTTTCTTCATCTGAGGATGACTTTATTTTTTCTTTTTTTTTTTTTGAGACAGAATTTCGCTCTTGTCACCCAGGCTGGAGTGCAATGGCACAATCTCGGCTAACCACAACCTCTGTCTCCTGGGTTCAAGCAATTCTCCTGCCTCAGCCTCCTGAGTAGCTGGGACTACAGGTGCACACCACCATGCCCAGCTAATTTTTTGTATTTTTAGTAGAGATGGGGTTTCACCACGTTGACCAGGATGGTCTCGATCTCTTGACCTTGTGATCCACCTGCCTCGGCCTCCCAAAGTGCTGGGATTATAGGCGTGAGCCACCGCGCCTGGCTGACTTCATTTTTTTTTTTTTTTTTGCATTACTGAAATATATTTTTGCAGGATATAGAATTCTGAGTTGATATTCTTTCTTCCAGTACTTTATTTTATTAATTTTTCAGCACTTTAAAGTTGTTTTTATCTTCTGGGGCCCATGGTGTGTGTATATATTTGCCCATTCATCTCAAAGGCTCTATGGTTTCAGATGAGAAACCTATAGTCAGAGTTTTCCCTCATGTGTAGTTTGTCATTTTTTCTTCCAGCTGCTTTCAAGATGCATTCTTTACCTCTGTTTTTCAATAGTTTGATTATGATGTGTCTGGGTGTTTTCAAGTTTCACCTATTGTAGGGTTTATTAAGCTTCTTGAATCTATAAATATAACTCTTTCAGAAAATTTAGAACGTTTGCTGCAGAAGTTTTTTATTTCTATTTTTGAGATGGGGGTGTTGCTATGTTGCCCAGCCTGGTGTCAAACCTCTGGGCTCAACTAATCTTCCTGCCTTGGCCTCCCAAAGTACTGGGATTATAGGTCTGAGCCACTGGATTTTCTGGCCCTCAGAACTGTGAGCCAATACATTTTTGTTCTTTATAAATTACCCAGTCTGTGGTATTCTTCTATAGCAACACAAAATGGGCTAAGATACTGGGCTGGCCACATTCCTTCAGGAATATGAATTAGGATGGATGTAAAACATGCAGATTCAGGATTCATCGGTCCTTCTGCCCTGCAGTATAGAACAAGAAGAGGCCCAGCTATGAGAAAGGAGAGGCTTTGAGAGAAACAGGGTTGAAAGACAGAGAGAGAGAGAGAGAGAGAGAGAGAGAGAGAGAGAGAGAGACAGACAGAGATCTTGGATGCTTTCTAGTTTTTGGTTCAGTCCTTCTTGAGATGTAACTGTATGTATCCCCATGCATGGGTGCCATAAGACACCAGTTCATAGATTTTTATGCCATCTCCCCTTTTAGCTTACATTAGCTTGAATGCATTTCTTTTATTTACATCTATAAAGCACACAGGGGGCTGAGCTCAGTGGCCCAGCACTTTGGGAGGCTGAGGCAGGCAGGTCATCTGAAGTCAGGAGTTTGTGATCAGCCGCCAACATGGTGAAACCCCATCTCTACTAAAAATACAAAAATTAGCTGGGCATGGTGGCGCACACCTGTAATTTCAGCTACTTGAGAGCTTGAGGCAGGAGAATCACTTGAACCTGGGAGACAGAGGGCGCAGTGAGCCGAGATAGCGCCACTGCACTTCAGCCTGGGCAACAGAGCAAGACTCTGTCTCAAAATAAATAAATAAATAAAAAATAAAAAGTGCACAGGGTTAGAAATTACACTGTGACTGTGCCCAGGTCCCAGGCTCAGGCTTACTTAGGGAGAATACTTGGCAACAGGATAATACAGACAAGTCATTAGGCCCCCACAAGATCAAATCTAGAACCTAGCTTCATTTACATGTATTTTATTAGCAATTACCCTCCTAGCTTAGAAATTCCTTGTGGACAGAGATTTTGTATTTTGTTTTGAATTCCTTACAGAGATCATTGATTTATTCAGTAAATATTTATTGTCTGATATGTATTAGGCACATCATCATCTTAAAAATGGAAAAAACAATATAATTATCATTTTGAAGTAGGAGCTTGAAATACATTATTTTCTCTACTCCTGATAACATCCTGTACATTCAATATCATTGACCCCATTATTAGATAAGGAAACTGAAGCTTACAGAAGATGATTAACTGGCTTGAAGCTGCAGCTACTAAATTACAGAGCAAAGATTCAAAGCCATAGCTGCCTGACACCAAAAGCCATGCTTTTACACAAAATAAACCTGAACTTTTTTTCTTTATAGTTTGAAGACATTGGGGGATAGAGTATTTATACAACCTGTAGCCTTAATATTAACAATCCTGTAAATACTAGTAATGGAAGAACTTGCCTTTGTAAAATGAGTCATTCAATTTGCTGTGTGGCAGAAAGTCTGGTTGTTTAAAGAAAATATGATGACATGTCTCACTCATCATTCATGTGAACAAATTCTGAGGACTGTACTGAGGTTCTTTGTAGTGTGGTGTAAGAAAATCAGGATCTTCCAAAATAGTTTGCTTATGCCAGTGAAATAGGTTAAGTCAACATTCAACCTTTATTTAAAGAATTCTATAACTTAATGCCGGGCGCAGTGACTCATGCCTGTAATCCCAGCACTTTGGGAGGCTGAGGCCAGCAGATCACTAGAGGTCAAGAGTTTGAGACCAGCCTGGGCAACATGGTGAAAGCCCATCTCTACTAAAAATACAAAAACTAGCTAGGCATGGTGATGGGCTCCTGTAATCCCAGCTACTCAGGAGGCTGAGGCAGGAGAATCAGTTGAATCTGGGAGGCGGAGGTTGCCGTGAGGCGAGATCGCAACCATTGTACTCCAGCCTGGGCAACAGAGCCAGACTCCCTCTCAACACAAACAAAAAACCCCAAACAATAAAAAACAAAAGCTGTAACTTAAAAGTAGAAAGCTAATTCCCTAGTATGATAAAGAATAACAAATTGTAAATAATATCCAACATTATAATTAATAGCAAAACACTAAATAAATCCCTATTTAAATCGGTACAAAACAAGGATGTCTGCTTTCACCATTCTTACTTTTACAATGATCTGGGAATTCTGTTGCTCCATGCTCTTATCTTTGAACTTCTTCTTGTTTTATTTTATTCATGTTCTTATCACAGTCTCCCATAAAACCAGCATTCATGGAGAGCTTTGTGGGTTTTCTAAATTTTGCTGTATATATATATTTCCCAGACCGGGTTCTCGGTTCTTCTTTGGGATTCTGCTTGCTTCTTTTTGTTGCTGTTGCTTTTCTATAGTATACTTGGCTGACCCAGCTTGCTTGTGTTGCGCATGGGTCTTTCCAGACTTTGTGTGCTCTGATAGGGTGAGCATGACTGTCATCTCTGATACTTGCATGTCTCACCTCCAAGCTACAGAGCAAGAACTGAAATCTCACTTCCTTCTCACTTTTCTGAGATGGAGGGAGGAGAGCATAGAAGCCGACTCTGCTGGGGCTTGTGCAGCCTTTGTTGGGTAACCTGGCTTTTACTCTGTCTTCTGAAATGCTATTTATTTCTTTCTTCTCTCTCTCTCTCTTTCTTTCTTTCCTTTTGAGGTGGAGTCTTGCTCTGTTGCCCAGGCTGGAGTGCAGTGGCATGATCTCAGCTCACTGCAACCTCCATCTTCCAGGTTCAAGTGATTCTCCTGCTTCAGCCTCCCTATTAGTTGTTAGGATTACAGGCATGCGCCACCACGCCCGGCTAATTTTTGTATTTTTTAGTAGAGACAGGGTTTCTCCATGCTGGCCAGGCTGGTCTTGAATTCCTGACCTCAGGTGATCCTTCCACCTTAGTTTCCCAAAGTGTTGGGATTACAGGTGTGAGCCACTGAGCCCAGTCCCATTATTATTCTTAGACAAAACAGACCCTTTCAAAGAAATGGAAGGAATGGTAAACTTGGGTTACACAATATATTTGTTTAAAAAAATGGGATATCATACCTATAATCCCAGCGCTTTGAGAGGCAGGAGGATCTCTTGAATTCAGGAGTTTGACACCAGCCTGGGTGAAACAGGGAGACCTTGTCTCTCCAATTTTTTTTTTTAATTGGGATCATCCTGAACCTCTATTGTTTGCTCTGCCTTTTCAAATGACTTGAATGTTTTTCTAATCACAAAATATAATTTTCAAATGTGATTTCTTTCCAATGTGATTTGTACATGTATGCATAATGTTCCATTATATGGATGTCACTGTGATTTATCTGAGCAATGTTTATG